TGGCTGTGTAAGTACGAAAAACAGTGAAATGATGTTTGGAGAAATATAGTGGACAGAAAGCTCAGCTAAGGTATTTTAGGGCAAGGTATTTTCACCATACATATTTCAGAAGACATCTGGTAGACGTTGAAGAACTAATCTAAACTCTTTATCTTGGCGGACTTTGTGTATTGAAAGTTTGTTTCCCTTTGACAAAGTAAGCAGGCAGCTATTCTATATAGCTCTGTCATTGACGTGGTGACAGTCAGCTGACACTAGGTTGGCTTCCAGTACTCAAAATTATGCTTATATGAAGGTTCTTTATTTTGTTGCAGTTTTAACCAATATACCATAGATCTGATAGATAAGTGTTTTTTCTAAGAATGTATGGTATGTCATATTCATGGGTTTATTGATAGATAATCTGTAGTTTTAGGATTACCATAAATATATACCTTTTTTGGTTAGTGCATTTCTATAATCAACTAACAATCTTGGTTTGATAGTTTTGATAATATAATTAGGCATGAAGTATATCAAGGAAATACAGTTAATATGGAACAGCGATATATATGTATTAAAGAATATAGATAAATGAATAGATTAATCAGCCATTTTTCTTTTCTTTTTTATAGAAATACTAACCTATATAGGAAGTTTATACCATTTTGAAAAAAAAAGTCTATGAAAGACATAAAATACATTGGAATGCACATTATCATCCAGCTATGGATCCACTTATTTTATACAAAATGTTTAAAACCAATTAACTCTACCAAACTCCCAGTCAGATGTTAGCCCACAGATCCCCTACCCTGGAGACGTTTACTTGCCAGGGTCTCCGCTCTCTAAACCCACTACAGAATTTAGTCTTGACTTTACTTTTATTTGTCTGGAGGAAAGACAGAGCTTTGCCTCAACCAGGAGGACAGGGCGCATCATGCTTGTTGGTCTCTGGATGTTGTAGCTAGGAGGCTGTTTTGGTATGACCTCCCCAGCTGTGACATCTTTTCTTTCAGTGTCCTCCATTGTAAGGGTTAACAAAGATGCGTTTTTGGTTTGCTTTGAGAAGTTACTCCAGCTGTCTCATGTGGGAGTCACTTGTGTTCTTGCCTTGCACTCCACTTTGGGTTGCCCACCATGTGTGCCTCATGCAAGGTTCCCTGGCCTCAAGCAGTCACTCTTATAGTAACCAACTGGAAATAGTACATTTTCTATTCAAAGGTACTCATCGTGGTTAAGTTAAAACGTTAATCTTGTAGTCAATCACATGCCTTCCAGCTGTCACTGACAATTGTCTGTTATTCACGTATTTATTCTTCCGCACTGTAAATCAAAAAGGCAAATGATGTTCAAAACAAATCTGGATGCCCTTTAAGTTTGGTCGGGAATCATATGAGGCTGATGACAATCTGAGCCACCACCCCCACACCCCCATGATTAAACTGTAAAATATATATTGTTTACCTCTTCCATACAGACAAAAGCAAAATCAATTATATTGGAATTTTGTCATTTGCCTGTAGTAGAAGTCCTCCCCCAAAATCTAGAAGCAACTGTGCTTGTTCTTTCTTGTTCTTTGTTGTCTGTGGTAGATTTTGCACCTACTTTAAATTTCTTTTGCTCCTCAGTCGATGAAGGGAAAATTGAAGTCACCTGTTATTGTAATATCTTGGTCCTTTGAAGTTTTGATATAATAAAAAATGACATAGAGCTTCACTAAAGAAAACATTAGTTGAGTCATGATACATAATTTTTGTGTGTTCTTGGCCAATGCTTCTGGGACTTCTAAAGTGTTATTGGGATGTTCTGTTGCTTTGTCATTATTTTGTTGCAAGATTTTATCAGATGTAAAAAGCTACTCCTCTTCTAGATTTCCCATTTCTTTTAATTATGTCAGAATCTTTCATTTTAATTTCTTCATCTTATATGTCTTCCTTTAAGTGTATTTCAGTCAGGGATATAACTGAATTATTGTGTGTGTGTATATATATATATATATATATATATATATATATATATATATATATATATATATATATATATATATATATATATATATATGTATTTATGTATAGGTGTGTGTGTGTGTATCTATATATCTATCTATCTATATATAGATAGATAGATAGATATTATATATATACTATATATATTATATTGTTTTAGTCACATTTATATATTTGTATGATTTTGCTCTTCTTGCAACTGCTAATCATTTTTTGCTGCTCATATTTATATATATATATATATATATATATATATATATATATATATATATATATATATATATATATATATATATATATATATATATACAGGGATTTGGGGCACAGTCCTCACATAGGAAGGTTTGGGGGTTTATTGGAGTTTCATTGTTAATAGTCGGTGATGAATAGTCTCTCACCCAGAACCTTAGATCATCTTTGCATATTAGTTGTGAATTACAGTTATATTTTAAGTCCCCGATGATACCAACGTGCCATGACTTATATTCTTGAAGCCCATGTGCAGTGGAGGGATATAATATAAGAATAATATGCAGTAAATAAATAGATAAGAATAATAATAATGAGCAGTAAATAAATGAATAATAATAAGAATGATAAGTAGGAAATAAATAAATAATAAGAATAATAATATGCAGTAAATAAATAAATAAATAATAAGAATGATAAGTAGTAAATAGATAGATAATAAGAATAAGAATAAGCAATAAATAAATAAGAATAAGAATAATAACCAGTAAATAATGATAAGCAGTGGGGGGATATAATATAAGAATAATATAAGAATCCTTTTACTGCATCTATTGCCAAATCTCATTTTGAGTGTGCTCAGATTATAGATATATGACATTTATATAAACTATCCTTGCTGTAAATGTGGACTACAAATCTCTTAATCTTTATAGATCATTTTGAAATCCTAGACTGAGATTATCATACCCCCCCCTTCCCCCCCCAAAGATGCAACATGTTTCTATACACAGGTTGTTTCAAGATGGGTTTGGGCTCCATGGCTGTGCTTGCTGTCTGATTTGAAAGCCGAGGGCACTAGAAAACCCTGTGGACTAGCACTGCCGATGTTCGACTCCCAGCCTAGATGTGTGCAGATGCTTTGGAGTTCGTAACCAGCACCTACGCAAGAACCCAAGGCCGAGGTCAGTCTAGCCGCGTTGCAGTAAGAGGGATAGATTTACGAGAATACTAGCTGTATATTTGGTAGGTTGAGTCAAGTTCTGTGGTGAATTCAGCTTGACTTTGTTTGTTTTTATTTTGAGATGCTATTCCCATTTTGGAAGGCTTGATAATAGTTCGAAATATATTTCATTGCAGATAGGGAGATATTGGTACACAATTGTTCTGAGTCGGCTAAAAGAGTGAATGTCGCAGATAGCATTGTATCCATGCAAAAAAATCAGAGAATAATTTGGTGTATAGTTTAAGATATAGCATAACATTTAGTATATAAAACACAACACAAAACACACACCAAAAAAACACACACACACGATACATACACAAAAAAAACACACACATACACACACACAGCTATCTTTCATGTTCTCTTTTCTTTATTTCTTAATTTTTTCCCATTTTTCCTGCAGATTGTGGGTGTGAGTGGTGTGGCAGAGTACATGGCTCGAGAAATGATCTTGAACATGTCGTCAGCATTTGCCATAGGAAGATAGAAGCTATGACGGCATACCCAATCAAACAGACATGAGACGCCCCCTGCCTTTCAGAGAACACTCCTCCTATGTCATTTAAACCTTTATGCAGTCGTGTGCCTTTTGGAGAGATGGAAAAAATATTTTTTGAGAAGTGGTAAGATGAAGAAAAACAAGATGGCACTTGAATGTGCCGACTGTGGTAAGGTGTTCAAAAGGAGCGACCACCTGAAGACGCACCAGAAGATTCACACGGGAGAGAAACCGTTTGAATGTTCCGAGTGCGGAAAAAGGTTTGGTAGGCTCGGTGACCTGACTGTGCACCAGAGGGTTCACTCGGGAGAAAAACCGTACGAGTGCCATGTCTGCGGGAAGAAATTCAAAGTAAATAGTGATTTGAGCGTACACCAGAGAAGTCACACGGGAGAAAGACCCTACGAGTGCTCCGAGTGCGGGAAAAGGTTTAATCGAAGTAGTCATCTGAAGACACACCAGAGGATTCACTCTGGTGAGAAAAAGTTTGAGTGTCCTCAGTGCGACAAAAAGTTTCTTCGAAATAGTGATCTGAAGGGACATGTGGCCACTCACGCGGTGAAGAAAAGGTTTGAGTGTTCCGACTGTGGAAAAGGTTTTGTCAAGAAGAGTGATCTACAAGCACATGAAAGGATGCATGCTGGAGACGCACCATTTGAGTGTTCCGAGTGTGGGAAAAGGTTTTTTCAGAGGAGTCATCTGAATGCACACCAGAAGATTCACGCGGATGACAATCCCTTTGAGTGTTCCGAGTGCGGGAAAAAGTTTAATAAAAATTGCAATCTGAAGGCACATGAAAGGGTTCACTCTGGAGAAAAACCATACGAGTGCTCTGAGTGTGGGAAAAGATTCACTGTAAGTGCTTCTCTAAAGATACACCAGAAGCTCCACAAAAAGACCCTCTTTGAATGCACCGAGTGCGGGGAAAAGTTTGAAGAAACTGGCGAGTTGGAGAAACACCTGATATCACACATTGAAGAGAAGCCGTTTGAGTGTTCTGAGTGTGGAGAAGGTTTCCTTCAAAGTGCCGATCTAAAGACACACCAGAAGGTTCACTCTGAGCTTGAGGAAATGATTGATGTAGAGGTGTCTGAGGAAAAGGTCATTGTAAGTGAGTCTGTGATAGAGGATGCTGTAAGTGAGTCTGGGGAAGAGAATAGTTTAGACGAATCTTTGGAAAAGGTTAATGGAAATGAGTCTGACAAAACAGTTGTTATAAATGACATGAAAATGCCCCCAAGGCTTCACATGCGTGAAAGACCATCTGAATGTTCAGGCTGTGGGAAAAAGTTTGATCGAGATGATAATCGGAAGACAGGGAATGACTCTGAGGAAAAGCCACTCAAGTGCTCAGATTGTGGGAAAATATTCATAAATATCTGCTTTAATGATAGTAGTTTACAGGCACAGCTGTTGATAAACACAGGTGAAAGACAACACAGGTGTTCTGTTTGTGGGAAAGTGTTTAGTCGGAGTGATAGCCTAAGACTACACCATAGAATTCACACAGGTGAGAAACCTTACGAATGTTTGGAGTGTGGGAAAAGGTTTATTGAAAGTAGTAAGTTAAAAAGACACGAGATTATTCACTCCGGGGAAAAAACCATTTAAATGC